GTACAGATTAAAATCAGTCTTTCTTATTTGTCCAGATTAGCTGTAGAATTACGTAAAGACCCATCAACACAATCACGCTTACCTCGGCACGTATAGGCCGCCCTCTTTAAAGCTCCTGAGCAGTGAGTTGTAAATTAGTTTGTCATTTCGCTAATGCAGGACTGTAAGAAATATCACCTCGCGACAATTTAATTACCTAAGTACTACAACTGGTTACAGTCCAAGTCTGTGTAAGAGTGAGGAAAGTGATTGTAATTTGAGGAGCCATAGGGTTAATCAGTCAAAGCGCACTGACAAACCCAAAGCAAACACTGTGAGCAAAAATGGAATTCTCAGGTACAATTACACACAGAGAGAATTAGTGGCCTTTCCTTTTATAATGCACACTTTTTCACTCATAGCCTGGTTGATTTTCATGGAAACTGTGTTTCTTTGAATTGTCTTAACATTATTAGTTTACCCCATTTGGTGAGTTTGAAATGTCTGGAAGGCTAGCTGTGTGTTATGAAGATGCAGTGATTGTCCGTCCATCACATTGTCATATAAAGTGACTGGGGGACAGCCTGGTAGGTCTCCAGAGAGAAGCAGGGGTATGCTACTGGATTCAAGCCGCTGTCTCTGGCTCAAAATAGCCATTTGAGCAGACTAGTGAAATGTAAGCAAAGCAGACACTCTGACTGACACATAGGAGCGTCTCTCTCCTCTCACCCCTCCAGCACTCTTCCTCCTCCTGCCTATAACCTGCCCCTTATGCAGCCTGTATGAGGAGCACTGACATGTGAAGTCCTGGAATACATTGGAAAAGTGTTTTTAAGAGAAAACCAATGCAGATGCATTCAGTTTTTAGGGTTTGGTTGTTTATGATGTTAGGATTTGCTATACTAATTATAAAAACACAATGGCTACATACAGTCCTGGTACTAATTCACAGAGATATTAATTAGATATTCTGCCATTAAATAGTACTTTTCAGATTCTCGAATGAGTTGATGTCATACTCCTAGATAGGAAGAGAACCAGTTTACACTATTGATTACAGTATTCTCATAACAAATGTCCAAAAGGTTAATTCACAAATGTTGAATCTGATCATAGTAACTAGAATGTAATTCACTTCAAAATTATGCATTTTAACTATATTCATTTTAGCTGTCTCTATTTGTATTACTGGCTTAGAGAATGTTGTCATCTGAAATCCAGCAATGCCTTTCCACTCCAAAGTCCCAACATAGTTTAATTCATTGTAAACTTTACTTTGACAACAGACGGAAGCTTTGGTAAATAGTGCTGAGGAGAAAAGCTCTGAGACGTCACACAGTGTAGAATTTGACTTTAATTAACTGAAATGTAACATGTACCTGATCTGCCACATTTCTGTCACTGCAGGAATAACTTTTCCAGAAATAACAAAAAAATAAACCCCAACAATCTCCAGTATTGTTTCCCTGCATTCATGCAGTTCTTGAACCTGGAATCCGAGGCGCATTGATCGCTTACGTCTGTACAACATAATTGTCATGTAGAAGGCAGGCGAAATCTAGATCATGCTTTGATTTTTTTTTTTTTTTTCCCCTCCTCTTCTATTTACCTAAACCTTTCTGTATTTAAAAACACAATTTAAACTTCATTATACTTTGTGCTAGCTCAGCCTTGGAATGCTGGGTGATCATTGCTCTAGAGTTAGAGAAAAAAAACATGGCACACTTCAAAGTAGAGCGTGCCACAGTTCCTAATAGGGTATATCTCTTCAATATTTTGACATGGTTGTACAACAGCACCAGTGCTATATGTGCAGAATAAATAACCCTTCCGCTCATCAGTGTCGGACGTGTTTTGGCAGGTTTTTCTGTCCAACTGTTCTTTAATGGGTCTCATGTGACTGCTTCATAAAATGTATGAAAAGAAATCTGTCTTTGTGGGCTTTTGTGAACACTTCACAATTGTTGCCGATTCAAAACGAGTTTAATTAAATTCTTATTTTTAATCAATTCCCCTTTGTCGGTAGGCTGAGAGCTTCAATAGCTATGAATGCTGTTGCCTTGCCAATTTAGAGCACCCCTGTTGAGCAATTTAGGTAGTCATACCTCTTCTATGGAAAATGATTTGATTCATGTAAAAAGGGTAGCGTTTTTATAAAGTAGGTAATATTTCCCAGAGAGCACTTTCTCCTCCCTTGTTACTGAAGGTGTGTATGTGCAGCTCCGGCTCCAGCTGCGCCTCCACTGACTGATGGCTGTCATCCCTGGGCCGCACACGGAGGGAAAGAGCCGTGTGCTGCAGGAAACTGTCTTATGAATATATACCAATCTCTCTGGGTAATAAGCACTCTGAGCGGACTGACCCAAACACATGGGATACAAGATGGAGAGAGAAAACTGCATCCAGGCCTCTGATCTTTGAATATTTTGACACATAATACCCAACTGTATAACGATCCTACTCTGGTGAACCATTATTGGCAGTCCCAAGCTTGGAGAATCAGAACATGTCATGATCATCCTAAGAGAACTGTTCCCCTCCCACAGATTATTCACAAGCCAATCACGTAGCCAGCCCTGTTTCACTATTGCACAGAAAAAGAAAACGTGGCTTATCCATTTACATCCATGTGAGAGTAAATGGTCAGTCCAACGTCTGTGATCTCTGTTTACCATGTCCCCTGTCAAAGCCCCATAGCTCCTGGGTTAGGTCCTAGTCACCTGCTCTGAATCCCCAGTAAGAATATATAAATGTTTATGACTCTAACCTAACAGTGACCACTCAGCAAATGCTTCCATATAGGGCTCCAGACGACTCATTTGAGCCCACTTCAGTTTGTGTGCCCTTTAGGCTTTTTACCATAAACAAAGATGCTGCTGAATTAAATTAAGAGACAAATTGGAAGCCACCACTGTGAGACCTTATAATAAACAATGCCAGGTGATGTTAAATTCAAATGCCATGGCAGTTCGTCTCGCAGTAATAGTGAATGTTGTTTAAATTTGACGTGGGGAGAAAACATATTCATCAGCGTGTAATGAAGTTATGATTGAATTTGGCTAATTTGACTGATGGCAGTGCTCTCCATAAATAATTTCACATCTTTGTCTCCCTCCACTGCGGCTGCTCTAAACTGTGCTCTTATCTGGCGGTGTGTGTTTACTCACATGGGCATTCATGAAATATTTGAAGCTCAATTGTTTACATTCCCTGCAAATGAGCCTCTTCATTATTAGCTGCTGTCAACCCCAGCAAGCTGCAAGTGGTTCACAAAGGCACTAGCTTAGAATAGAAGGGAGAAGCAACACGTAACACACTATACTATACAGAAAGCCATAGAGTTTGTGATACTATTGTAGAGAAATGGTGTATTAGATGATTAGACTCTTGATTAAACTCTAAATATTTACAAGTGCTGGGACTGGCACAAAGGGTATAGCAATACACAGTCATAGCAATTAACATTATATTATATTCTGATTAGTTAAAAGTCCTCAAAATGGTGTCTATAGCATAAAAACCCATGTATAGCCTACTGGTAGCATCTGCGTTTTTTTCCCCAGCCTAGATAAGCCTAACTCAAATATCAATGCTAGACTAATTGTTGGCATGTCATGATAACAGATTCTAAAGTACGATATATGTACAGTATTTTATGCTATACTGACACAATAATAAGAATGCAAGACAATCCCAGTAAACTATTTTTAAATAGACAGTATCATTCAAAAGGCCTGAGCTGTAACAAATACACAACAGTTGGAAAATGTTGGAATAATTAACCATAAGAAGTAACTTATACAACTTTTTACAGCTCAAATGTTACTGCATTACAATAAAAATAGCCCAAATCTCTCCACTTTTACAAAGAAGAAGTACACACGATAAATTCTGAGCCCCAAAATATATTGTCCCAGCTATCATATATTGAACGATAAGTATTTATCGTGACAGGGCTTCCTGATTGAGAAATGATATTGTCAAACCAACGTAACCAATGTAAAGTGTTTGTTGTGTGGCATAACTCGGTTGGTAAAAATATACACAGCAATAAAATATGCTCATTTACATATGTGGATACACCTTTGTCAAGAGGTCATACTTCAAATTGTGTTGGTCCAAATCTTCAGAACTACAGTTTTACAGAGTTTAGGATGAATCTACTTGTAAACCAATGCACATTAGGCGAAAGATAATTTGTTTTTGTGACCCTGGACTGAGCAAGCCAAAATGAAAAATATCAGAATACAATTTATAATGAATACACAATAGGATTTCACCACCCACTCAGATTAGACTATAGAGGCGCTTCATTTTGTATTTGTTGAGCTATGTTTTTGAGAAGGTTCATTGCTGCATGTAATACATGGTTCACCTTCTTATGAATGTTATTCAGGGGCTGCTATATAAAGGTTAATTATGTGTAACAGCTGTTAATTTGTTCTCAAGTCATGGAGTTGTATGTCTCACTACTAGAATAGGTCAATCTGATTAAAAGGGCCCATATTCCACTGTTTTCTGATCTATGTTATAATGTTGTTTCCTCACCACAAACATACCTGGAGCTGTGTTTTGGTTAATTTATATGTTTAACACACAAATCCTCCATATTTAGGCTGTGTTCATCTCTCAAACTGAAACTGTTCCACCTTGTGATAATACAGAAAGTGCTCCACTGTGTTTTTAAACTTCCTACACCTTCACTAGAATCATTTGGATGATTTCAGACATGGAATTGCCCATCTCTACTGAACTATGGGTTCAGGTAAAGGTAACTGTTAACTTCATGACATCACAAAGTGGAACAAAGCATTTTGAGTTTTGGAGACAGACAAACAAAACAACTCAGCTCCAGGTAAGTTTTTGTTGAGGTAACAGCATTTAACTTAAACCTCACAAGAGTCAATGTTGTGTATTATAAGACCATTAAATATCTCTGTATTGACTTTAAATGTTGTCTTTCTCTTCTCTGTGTCCCAGAAGTGCGACCGTAAAAGTGAAGCTTGCCCCTCACTTCGAGTATGGACTTGGCGAGACAGGCCCATGTGCTGGTGGCTCTACTCACCTGCACGTTTCTACTATGTGGGGCCCAGGAAAAGGACTACACAGTCAAGGAGGAGCAGCCAGAAAATGTCCGGATCGGTAACCTCCGCAAGGACCTGGACCTCAACTTGGACCCCAACATCCGGCTGTCCTCCCCGCTGCAGTTCAAGCCTGTGTACAAGACAGGCGATGTGCCTTTGGTGAGGGTGGAGGCCAACACCGGGGAGATATTCACCACCAATCACAGGATCGACCGGGAGAAACTGTGCTCAGGGGTGTTTGCCGAGAAACGCTGCTACTACGAGATCGAGGTTGCGGTGCTGCCTGACGAGATTTTCCGGCTGGTGAAGATCCGCTTTCTGATTGAGGACGTGAACGACAATGCGCCACTCTTCCAGTCCACAGTCATCAACATCTCCATACCCGAAAACACTGCCATCAACTCCAGATACCCCGTGCCCTCGGCGTTTGACCCGGATGTGGGGCTCAATGGCATTCAGCACTATGAACTGGTCAAGGTGAGAATAATGTATTTAAATAACTATACTGCCCTTAGATACAGTAGTTTAGAGATATGTTTTTCACTTTTCAGAGACCAGAGCAGAGTTTTGCTGTCACAGTAAAGTAAATAATAACTTGCTTAACAGCACACTTCCTGGTTCTCGAACAATAAAGCGCCATTTGATTTGATGCAGAGAGAACATAGCAGTCAATAAGACACTAAGACAATAAAATGTTTCACATTACATCTGTTCTGGGGAAAAGTAAAAAATTGTGTACAGTCACATTAATATTGTGTTATATTCTGGTGGAGGGTATGTTGCTTGCTTTGCCATGTTACACAGTATGACATTAAACATGTAGCATTTATTTAATTACAGGTGTTTTTGTTGCTTTTTCTTTTTGCTCAAAAGTACCATGAAAAACATAGACAAGTTTCACATTCTGACTAAAGCAATAATATCTCCTTGGAGGGAAGCAGGTGGGGTACCCTCCACCAGAAAAGCTGTACCTTTAGTTAAAAGCATCTGTTATATGTGGAAATTCACTGGAGATAAAAGTATGTTACTCAAAACTCTGTATTCCTTCCCTTTAGCTTATTCATGCTAACCATTCTGCCACATGTATCCCACATTTTGAATAATTAATCATTTTGAAGCATCAAACGTCCACATACACAGCACTTCAGATAGTTTTATAACTTGCTTACAGAATTTAGTTGGCTGTGTAAAAAAAAACATTTCTTTTGCAAACACATCCCATTTTATCAGAGTTAAGCAATCTTAAATTAAGACATAGCTGTAATACTGCAACAGTAAACCTAATTAGAAATGTCCATTTAGAACACTGATTTACATCTAAAAGTTCAAACAAATGTTTCTGTTTGATATGTTTGGGATTGGAAGTGTCTCACTTAATTTTACTAACTCTAGAACAGTGGGTTGCTGTGTGAATTATGATTATTACTTTTAATTATGCTTATGGGAGTATATTCATTAAAAATCTTGTTGGGACAGAGTCATTTTGTTGACACGAAGCCCAATTATTGATTTGGTGCTTATATAAAATTCCATTTGGCTCAGCTCAGAATCAGACAAGCAAACCTTGGCGGGTGTACATCCCTGCCAGCGTCCAAATGATTATAAATGAAGGGCTGTCTTATCTGATATATGTGCCACTGTTCACTGGATGCTGAATCATCAGCTGTACAAGCTAGTTAACAAAGAGCTGCTCTGATCTACCTGATATATTTATGATCAAATACTCACTTGATTGAAGATGTGAAAAAGACTACTGCTACAAAAGCCATTCTGTATAAATTAATTAGGTCCAACTGGGAATACATTCAAGGTAATAAATGAACTGAGGGAATTACTCCAATAAATTTGCCTTAGGCCACAAAATGCTAATTTCGTGGTTTTGAGTTAACCACAAGGGGTCAAAAGCCAGTCTGCTTTTGGTCTCTTTCCAGTTTATACACCAGGAGACAGATAAAAAGATTGGTTCTTAAACCTATTTGTTCAAATTAAAATCTGGAAGAGGGACATTAATATACAATGGTTTGACTGAAACTAACTTTATAAAGTAGAATAAAGTAGGATTGGTGGCAACTAATGGAATAATATAATAATCCGAGCAGACACTGACAATTTCTTACTACTGTCCTAAATCCTATTGTCCATACTATTTTGGATGTATCTTATATTTAAATCTGACATTTGTAAGGTTAATTGGTGTAATAAACAAAAATACTAAACATTGATAGGTTTGTTTTCATTTTGTTGTCAATTGGTTATCAGTGGCATATTGTCTTTTCATAAATTGAAATAGTAGAAAGTTAATGCGTTTTTATTGTTATCTTATGGACCTCTTCTGTTTATCTGTATCTGCACTGGCCAATCATCTAGCTTTATTCTGCCTGCAGCCACCACCATCTTCTATTTCTCAGCACACGGTCAATTAATATTCTGCATTTTGCCTGTTTTCTTCCCATATAGCTCTCACAATATGATCCAGATCTTATCTTCTTGTAAACATGCACGCATTGCTGTAGGCCGGTAGTGGGGATCTGTAAGGTTAATTCATTTTGATGCAGCTGAAATATAACCTGGGGTTTCATGAGCTGCTATGCTTTTGCTCACAAATCTTTTACATAGAGCAGTGATTTTTCTACATGCCTCTTTCAACGACCAAGTTTGCAGCATCTAATTTGAGAACGCATGTAGCCAAAAGTGCAGACGCAGCATGATTCACATCTGCAATATGTATCAACAAGTTGTATGCTTGCTATATATCTGATTAAAGCCAGTGAGGAGAATGTAATGTTTTATGCTAATCGGTGTCTCATGCAGAACTGGAGAAAGCTTTTCTTCATGCTGTAATTGGTGCTCGATTTAAGCGGGGGAGCAATATTCTCTGTTGCTTAATGGAGTCAGGCCGGAATGCACAGAAAGTAGGATAATGTGCATTCTCCATTAATAGTCCCAACAACACTCCATATCACGTGGATATATGACTGCTGGGATGAGCCTTATATTGGGCTTATTCTAATGAGAGGAAATGAGGAGGGCGCATAACCGAGAACAAACGGGATAAAAGAAAAGATTGTATGTAACAACACAAGAGCTGAAGACTCAAAATCTATATTCAAGTATAAACTGTTTATGTCTTGTTTCCTGTTTCAGAGGACAAGCTATGTTGTATGTGTTTTCATGCATATAGCTATTTGCTGCATCTCAGTGCAACAAATAGCAGTAAGGATTACACTATAACTATATGCAGTGTATTTCTACTTCCATTATTACTTAAGATACCTACAAGCCTCACACAAGCAAAAAGGCATATATTTTCCATTACAAATTATTTTGTCCAAAAATGACATTATGTGTACTCTAACAGGTTAAATAATATTCTAATTATCAGATTACAAGTCACCTTTTATGCCACTGAATAAAAACACAAGGGCATTTTATAAATAAAATAACGAGCAGACACAACTACTGCAACTGTGGATAGGAAATACCACGAAGACAATGATCAAAAATAATAAAGTACTTGAGTAAAAAAAATCCACCCTCCTCTACCCCTTAATAACACACAAATGGCACGTCTGTGTTTCCTGGCTGAACTTAAGATTTCTGAGTGAGCACAAATTGCTGCTCTGTGTGTCTGTCAGGAATACAAATTTGCATCTTTAAAGCGTCTCCCCTCTGCCAGGGTCTCTCCAGTGCAATGTCCTGAATTGTTCATGCCTGGAAAATCACCAACCAAATGTTCTGCTCATTATTATGATCATGGGCATTTATTCTCTTTGCCCTTTTCTCTGCAGAGAATCCCCACCAAGGATGGCTCTGTAATATCTGCCGCAGCATACTGTCCTCAGCATACCTGCCTGACTTTGAACTTCTCATTATGTTTTATTGTACTCCAGATAAGATCATGTGAGTTGTTTCAGGATTCATGGTACTGAAAAGAGCCAAAGACATGTCAATGTTAGGAGCTTTGACTTCAGCTGTGCAGTGGAAAGCCAAAGGTTTGGAGGAGAGGAAGAATTTCCTAGAATAGCTCTTGGCCGCTAAGCCACCTTTTGACTATCATAGTGTGCTCCTGTAAGATTGTGTCAGGAGAGAAGCATTTTTTGCTCATTTTTGTGTCGCAAAGAGTGTGACACTACATTTTATATATGACATTTTATGTACAGTCTTCATACAAATGGGCAACAATACAAAGCAGTTTAGGTCTTGTTTATGGTTTTGTTTTATTTTACCTTGATTCGAAATCTCTTTTTCAAGAAAGACCTGGTCAAGGCAACCAACATGATCAGTGAAATCACAAAATATCACATCACATTATTATTAACTATAAATTAAGGGTGGCACAGTTCATAAAAAAAAAAAAAAGTTCGGTTCGCTTGTCATGGTTCGGGACGTATGTGCACCGCACGGTCTCCACTGTTCCCAGCTTGCGCATTGTAGCCTTGTACCCGTATGTAACCTTTTTCGCTTTGGCACAAAAGAAGAGGAGGGTGGGTGCTGTAGGTCTCCTTTAGAAATGGCTAGTAGGAGAGACAAGAGCCGCCTGGAGATGGAGGATGTGCCAGTGTTGTTGGGCCTGGTTCCACTGCACGCGTATTTTGCCCTACCTGAGCATAAAAAATGCAACTTTTGGACGTGTAACTTTTAGGGCCTGGCTCCACTGCATGCGTATTTCGCCCTACGCGAGCATAAAAACTTCACTTTCCATGCATTCTAAAAGTTACGCGTCCAAACGCTGCAGTTTTTACGCTTGCGTAGGGCAAAATACGCGTGCATTGGAGCCAGGCCCTTAGAATGCATGAAGCAGCACGTTCTGCATGCGTAGATTTCAGAAAATAGGATCCATCCTATTTTTTTGGCGCTCTACATCCTCATCAAAATACATAGACAGCATGTATCTATTGTTGTATTTGTGTGTTTACCATCAGCATAACATGCTCCTGTGTCGTCTGAAAGAGCCCAGGTCCAGAAAGACTATTAATTTGTGCTTTAAAATTTACTTTTGAAATCCTCGCGTTTGCTCTGGTCAGCCTGTACAAAAAGTAAATAAAAATCTGTTCATCTGTTAGTTTCACTCCAGACCTGATACAAGTGGCTAAATGCTCCCAGTCAAGTTTGATCAAGTTTCCCAATGACAAACACAGAACTAGTGCCGCGTGTTCATATCCTGCTGCAGCTGCCGGTGGAGCCACCTTTGCGTTAACGCGCGGCTGTGGTTTTGCGAGGTTATACGTGTAAACGCTGACACGTGCAGTGGAGCCAGGCCCTTAACCTTGCAGCCAAGAGCACAATCTCACTAAAACAAGTATCCCCACTCCTGAGGAGAGTTAGGAAGGTGGTAACATTTTTTCACCGAAGCACAACAGCTGCCTATGTCCAATAATAATGTGCTTAAAGTCAAGTCAAATTCAATTTGTACGTGATTACATTACTAACTATAATTTTATAACTTTTTTAATGATGTATCCTAATTTGTGGATAATTAAGCTAACATAGCATATGATGAAGTATATTTCTGGAGATTAAAGATTAAAAAGAAAAAATGACAACAAGAACCGCACAGCACCGAAAACCGCAACCTTAAACCGCGATATGAACCGAACCGTGAATTTTGTGAACTTTGCCACCCCTACTGTTTTTTCTTTCAAATATGTATTCTAAATGAGTAAAAATAGGTTTTATGTTCTGTAGCTGCTTTAGTTGGAGTCTGTCAAAATGTCAATTATACTACTCTAAGTATTAATACAAACGCAAACTACCAACTAGCACTAATTGCAGCTCTGAACCAAAGCATTTTTCCAATTGCAGTTAATTTTCTTCCATTCATTTACATCTTTTTCCCCCAAATTTCCCAGATATTAAAGTACTCTCATCATCATAGGCTCTGCCATTTAGCCATAATATTTCAAACCAAAAGTACCTCAGAGTAACATGTTAGCTACTCAAATGGTCAAGGTCAAACGAAGCAATCAGTTGGATAGATTGAAGAGGATTTCCCCATGACAGAGACTTATCATTCATTTATATTCTCTGTAGAAACATAGTCAGGACATCTGGACCCTGTTTGGGGCTGTATTTTAGCAGTGATTTGCAGCCCCACTGTCCACATTAATCTGGGTTGCTTTATGTCATCGCCTTCGGTCTCGTTTTGGTGGGCATAGTGTCGGAGTGGTGCTGAGATCAATGTGCTGCTGCCGGCTGGAGCATGCCTCACTGATTAACCGCATGATGAAGTGGATGTCTGTATTTTGGTTGACCAAGCAGGAGTACCCTCACATCTAACCTTTAGCCACAGAGAGTTTGGAGTGGTTTGTAGCGGGCTAGCGTTCAAAAACACAGTCAAATAATGTAAAATCTTGGGATTAAAATTAGCAAGACTCATTCTTGTCCTGATTGGTGGGTTTCAGATTCTTGAATGTGATGATCTCATACTGGGAGCAAGAGCCAGATTTCCCTATTGATTACACTGTATTTTGACATGAAATATCTTAAAGTTAAATTCACAAATGCTGAATCTGATCATTTCTTTTTTTTCCAATAGACCAAGAACTCACTGCATTAAAAGATCTGCATTTTATTTTAGCTGCCCCTATATGTATTAGATATTATTGTCAATGTTGTCATGTCATCTGCAACCCAGCAAAAAGGACAAGGATCCCAACTTAATGGTCAAAATAGGGCAGTAATGAAATGTTCATGTCTTGGACGGAATAAAATTGTGATATACAAGATTAAAGATTCCACTGGGCAATATACATTTTATTTAAAGGGTCCATATTACACTGTTTTCTGACTTATGACATAATGTTGTTTCCTCATCATTCACACATGTTTAACACACAAATCCTGTATATTTTGGCTGAGAACTTCTCTCTAACAGAAGGTACTCCAAGTTCCACCTAGTGATGTCATGTGGTAATCTGGGAACTGTGTTTTAAAACTCCATACATCTTCACTGGACTAATTTGTATGATTTCAGCCCTGGAGTTGCTGATCTGTTGTGAACATAAAGTAAAAGGTAGCTGTTAATTTGAAAACTACTGTTTCATGACATTATGAGGTGGAACAGAGCATTTTGAGTTTTGGAGATGTAGACAGACTAATAATAAAGGGTTACTCAAATGTGTGTGAATGAAACATGTTTGGTTTTTTTTGTTTGTTTTTTGTTTTTTGTGGAGATAACAATATTCTAATATTGCTTTAAGCTCACAAGAGTCAATTTTGCATAATACACGACTTTTAAAGTTGTATACACTTTCTCCGATGTTTTGAAATAATTTTAAAGATATGAACATTTGTGACACCCTTGAATCTAGAATTGCATTTGCTGCAAAGGTGACATCCCATTGTGGTATATTACAAAACCTCAGCTAGTCCATCATAAATCTGAAGTCCAAAGCATTGTGCTGTGCATCTTTTATACCTGTTTATATTAAAATTATTATTGCTTGCTTCCTTTGAGCAACATTCTGTTTCCATTAGCATTTTATTTCGACACCTTCTCCTCTTTCTAGGGGTTGACAAAAAGAGACAAACAATTCCGGGCTTCTACTGTCTTAATTATATGCATGAGATCATAGCTGGGGGCCATGTTGGATAGGGAAGAGAAAGAATTAGTGAGGGAAATGGGCGAAGGGACAGAGACAGAGGGAGTTTCTATCAGCATTATAAAAAGGTGCTATAAGAGTCTGATGAATGGCTCCCGCCTGTTGGCCCAAAGCCGGGGCATCAGCGTGACTAGAGCCTCCTGATCTATTCACCTCCCAATCTCACTCTCCTCACACTTTTAATAAGGTCATCAACTTGACGGAAAGATGCGTCGGCAGATAATCTCATGCACTGTCTGCAGCAGGAGGCCTCAGAGTGATGTGACTCCTTCACAAATCTGTGTTAGTCAGACTTTCTCAATCTTTTTTCATCTAAATGAGTCACCACATATTACAGTTCAGAATTATTGAGGGCTGTGGAGCATAGACTTGATGATGGCAGCATGAATTGCAAATGTATGGTTTTGGTATGACGGTAATGCTCTGCTTTTCAGTCTGATGAAATGTACACCATACAAAGTCTTGAAAGTCTTACATCAAATTCATGAAGCACAATACCCTTCTAAGAATCCCTGAAATAATACAGAGATTCAATATGTCTAACGTAATAAGTTTGATAGTGCCAATGTTTTAGTAAAGTCATATCTGAGGAATAGAAAGTTCATGATTACTTGCATATTAAAAAGTCTCTTCGTGAAATATAGATATTAAAGTTTTGGAGAAATACATCCTTCAAACTTTTGAGTTGGTGAGTGATTCCTGCGAGCTGGCCCTTTCTTAGCCTGCCCTAGATCTTATCACAATACACTAGGCTAATTTTGCATTCAGGAAGACGCACTGCCTGGGAGATAGCTCCCTTGAACTAATTGAAATGCGCTGTGTGCTGTCTTGTCAGTTGTAAAATTGTGTGAAACCAAGACAAAAGCATAGAGGAAATGCTGCCTCATAAATCACTGTGCTGCATTCCCTTTGACACATCCCTAACTCTACATCCTACTATTAACACCAGGCATCGCCAAATATCAGAAACTCAGCTACTGTGGTATAGCTGAGAACTGTTCAAACAAATGAGGATTGAGCCCGCTCGCTAGTGCTTAGCAATAGAGCTGCCAGAATGTTGACTTGGACCTTCCAGAAATAGTTGTGTGTTGTGCATACTGAATTATCATCCAATGTCAGTGTCCCTCGTATCATTTATATGCAACCTCTATGCTTATGAGCATGTCTTCTGCTCACCACAAGGATTACAAAATCCGGTCTGAGAGAGCATGGCTGCAGTGCACGCTGTTTTAAGTAGTTCTGTCAATCAAATCGTGACAACCATTCCCTCGGCAATCACTCTCTCACAGTAATATAACATGCTGCAGTTTGGCTTGTGCTGTCAAAGGGGCAGCTGTAGTGTACATATGAAAGTCCTGTTCCAATTTAAATGTCCGTTACTTGAACAAGGGGAATTTTGTATGTAAATCTCAGTTGATAACTGTGCCTAGACAGAATAATCTGCTATAACATTATGTGCAGCATGAAGCTTATCTCCTTAAAGAGGATGCTTTTTCTTGTTTTACCATGAAACTGCTTCTGACTGAGGCAGCTTCAAAGGGCTCCTTTGTTTCATAATGTGCATGCAGCTCATTCATGGCTTGATCTTCTTCTTATCCCCCCACAGCCCCTTTCACTCTTTTTCTGTCAACCTCCTCTCTTCCTTCCTTCACTTCCTCACTGCTCTCATGAACCACTACTATGCATCATCAATCATATCAATATCAGCAGTGCAGTCCATCTGTGACACATTATGTTTTGTCCTCAGTTTTACATCTCTTCTATATCTTCTATTCTCAAATTACTTCTACACTGATACCTCCACACTGATATTATCAACAACAGGGTGTTGTTGACACATTGAAATGACCCATAAATCATGTATATGAGAACCACATGACCAAGAACTGGATTCCTCAGCTCACACTTAATAGCATGAGTTGTTCTAAAGGTAACCATATTTGCAATGGTATCCAGGAGAACAGCACTATAAAGATTAGGTAGTTTTTAAAACCAGCTTCAGGACAGCTTCACAGGATGTAATTCCGTATTTCCACTCAAATGGAAAAGCAGAGCAAACCATGTGTTGCTGTCAGAAACTATTTAATTTGAAGTTGATATTCATCACTGCCTGAAAACTACAAGCTTATGAAAGTCGTAGGAATGAACCTGGGGAAATTTCAGTTTGAAATTCAAAGATAATTTTAAATGTCATCAGAATCTTATTTTTAGGATTTTATCAGCAAAGGGGAATGTGCGTGCCATGTTTCAGCACAAATATGGAGTGTTACCCTTTAAGTGTTATTAATTACATTCCACATTCCCTCAGAGAGAAAATGTATGCAACTTTACTCTAGTGTTGCAATCTCTCTTTTTTCATAGTGGTAATGAATAAAAGTATTACACATGTAAATCATAGAGCCTGTGGTGAAATTTAATGAAATGAATGTGTTGCACTAAATTTGATGGCACCTACAATATTAACTTCCTTGTACATTCTAACCTAACCCTTTTAATTAGTTCCTCCAAAGCACAGGGCCATGAAATACAGACAAACACCAGACTGTAATGTGTCATTTTAAACCATATACTAACTAAATGTTAAATTCTGTCTCTGCAGAGTGTGAGCGAGTTTGGCCTGGACATCATTGAAACACCAGAAGGGGACAAGTGGCCACAGCTTATTGTGCAGCAGAACTTGGACCGTGAGCAGAAAGACACGTTTGTCATGAAAATAAAGGTGGAAGATGGTGGCAGCCCTCCCAAGTCTAGCACAGCCATCCTCCAGGTCACCATCTCTGACGTCAACGACAATCGGCCCATTTTCAAGGACAGTGAGCTGGAGGTCATGGTCCCAGAGAATGCCCCTACAGGAACTTCAGTGGTGCAGCTCCATGCCTCAGACGCAGACATGGGAACCAACGCACAAATCCACTTCGCCTTCAGCAACCAAATCTCTGCCTCCACCCGCCGACACTTTGCAATCGACAGCACGACAGGACTTATCACTGTGAAGCAGCCACTGGACAGAGAGGTCACCCCTGTCCACAAACTCATCATCTTGGCTAGTGATGGCAGCTCCACCCCCTCCCGCGCCACTGTCATTGTTAATGTTACAGATGTAAATGACAACGTCCCATCTATAGACACTCGCTATATCATCAACCTTGTTAATGGGACTGTGCTGCTGTCTGAGAACGCTCCACTCAACACCAAAATAGCTCTAATTACTGTTACAGACAAAGACGCTGATCTCTATGGGAAAGTTGCTTGTTACACTGACCATGATGTTCCCTTTCGGTTGAAGCCCGTCTTCAATGATCAGTTCTTACTAGAAACAGCTGCCCCCCTCGATTATGAGACGACAAGAGAATATGCAATTAAGATAGTAGCTTCGGATAGGGGTACGCCTCCTTTGAACACTTCTGCTATGCTTTTAATTAAAATCAAGGATGAGAACGACAATGCACCCATCTTCCCCCAGCCAGAGATTCAACTTTCTATTCCTGAGAACAACGACCCCTCCACACAGTTAATAAAAATCAGCGCTACGGATGCTGACAGTGGACATAATGCTGAGATTATTTACACTCTCGGCCCTGACGCTCCTGACGGCTTTAACATTGACAGACGATCAGGAATCCTCTCGGTTGGCAAGAGACTGGACAGAGAGAAGCAGGAGAGGTACTCATTCACTGTCATAGCCAGAGACAATGGGTCCACGTCCCTGCAGAGCAATGTCACAGTAAGGCTAATCGTCCAAGACCTTAATGACAACAACCCGGCTTTCACTCACCCAGAGTACAACTTCTATGTGCCTGAGAACCTGCCCCTCTATGGAACTGTGGGTTTAATCACAGTGACAGACGCAGATGCTGGGGATAATTCTGTAGTAACCCTGTCCATTTTGAACAGCAAAGATAATTTCATCATCGACCCACAAACTGGCGTTATTAAACCTAATATTACCTTTGACAGGGAGCAGCAAAGCTCTTATACATTTATGGTCAAGGCTGTGGATGGGGGCCAACCTCCCAGCTCCTCCTACGCCAAGGTCACCATTAACGTAGTGGATGTAAATGACAATCGGCCTGTATTTGTCATCCCATCCTCCAATTACTCGTATGACCTGGTACGAACCGCCACCACCCCCGGCGCCGTGGTCACCAGGGTGTTTGCTATTGACAATGACACAGGGATGAACGCAGAGCTGCACTACAGTATCATCAGTAGTATCATCATCACATCCAGGGTCTCTCCACGAGGCCTTTTTGCCATTGATAAAACAACAGGTAACATTACACTGCAGGAGAAAATAGTGCCGGCCGACCTGGGACTGCATAGACTGGTAGTCAAGGTCAAGGATCTGGGCCAACCTGAGTCGTTACATGCTATTGCACTTGTTCACCTGTTTGTCAATGACTCTGTGTCAAATGCCACCTTTATACAAGAGCAGCTGAGAAAAAGCATGGAGACACCCTTGGACCGTAACATAGGAGACAATGAAGAAATGCCTCAAGCCAATGGATATGTTATTGTTGTCATAGCGATCATAGCGGGCACCATGACTGTCATCTTAGTGATATTTGTGACTGCTTTGGTGCGCTGCCGGCAGACCCCTAGACACAAGGTGGTGCAGAAGGGCAAACAGAGTGGCGAGTGGGTGTCACCTAACCAGGAGAATCGGCAGATCAAGAAGAAGAAGAAGAGGAAGAAGCGCTCCCCAAAAAGTCTCCTTCTGAACTTTGTCACCATAGACGAATCCAAGCCTGACGACCCCACACATGAGCACGTCAATGGCACTCTGGATCTGCCCGTGGAGCTGGAGGAGCAGACCATGGGGAAGTACAACTGGGCCACCACTCCCACCACCTTTAAACCGGACAGCCCCGACTTAGCCAAGCATTACAAATCCGCATCCCCTCAGCCCACTTTTCAAATCAAACCTGAGACTCCTGTAGCCCCAAAGAAGCACCACGTGATCCAGGAGCTCCCACTGGACAACACTTTTGTGGTGGGCTGCGACTCGCTCTCCAAGTGCTCGTCCACCAGCTCTGACCCCTACAGTGTGTCGGAATGTGGCTGTCAGGGGGGATTCAAGACCGCAGGGCAGATCACCACCCGACAGGTAATTCATGAGTTCCTTTCTATAAACCCACCCACACTAGTCCCCACTCACTCCTCCATTTGCTGTCCCGTGGCCAATGTGAAACTCAGAGGGTGGCAGCATGAAGCCGGATATAGCCCTGCAAACCATGACCATGTCTATGTGAATGGCATTTGCACCAAAGAATGAGGTTTCAAAAGGGGAGAAATGAACTAGGTTATGAATGACAGTTTTGTCACGTACTTGGATGACATCTTTTTCTTCTTTTTAAAACCTTTTAAATTTATGTAGTTGCCTCCAATGTTAAATACATAGGTTTAGTGGATGCAAACAGACAGTATGTGTCAGTTTTAGTTATCACCAAAACTGAAATAGTTAATTCTACTATATCTTATTTATTTGAGGAATAGCTATTGTTGGTGTATAGTGGGTTTGGGCAAAGAGGATGCAGAAGATAGAGCAAAACTCTCAGCAAATACATCAACTGAAAGAAGATAAAATATATACTGAATGTGTTTTCTAATACATTTGCATTTCACTTAACTTTTGTAATATTCAAATTTGCTGACCTGCACCTTGCATTAGAGTACTTTTAATCTTATATGTGAAAGACTGAGCACAAAGTGTCTGGCTAATATAATTAATAACAAAGGCTACACAGCAATGCATTTATTTATCCGAAAAGTGTCAAGGTGACAGTACAACGCAAATAAATCTGACATTGACATGCTAAAACATCTTGATAAATAATTCCACTTTCATTGTGGCTCCTGTTCCACTAAATATTAAGTGCTTCTTTAACCAGTGCCAGCGCAAGAAGCTAATATGAATGCCAAGGTACAGCAAAGGACTTATGATTCCCTAAGAGATATGTGCCAAATGCGAAGTGCCCCAATAAATAAAAAGGCTTGCGAAGGGAAATAAATGTAAATCAGAGGTAAGGAGAGGTGGCCTTGCACACTTCTGACAGGCCCATGTGAGTGTTGTACGCAAGACTGAGTAGAGCTGTGGGCGGGGGGAGGGGTCAGAGGGATCAAGGTGACGCGGTGCCTTGAGACCAATATATTTAAACACCCAGGGAGTGTAGGGAGTCTATAAAAAGCCTGCCAGGCCAATTTCCTATTTAGCTCATAAATGCTGTACTTTAATGACCCAAATTATTAGAATAAATGAGGTATGTAAGGGATTTCTCTGGAAGTTTTAATTAAGATGACATAGGTGACTTTGTAGTGGTATGAAAAACAAAAGTTGAGGACGCCTTATACTGCAAGGGTGAACATCACATTAGCTTGCAGATGATCTGACTAGACAAATATTGACTTGCTAAACTCGAAATGGGAGTTATTGTTGGGATTAAAAAACAGGAAAGCCTCTCAAATTGATTGACCCACACATGATACTTTTTTTTTTCTTTTTCATTAATCAGTCCTAATTATATGAATCAGTGAAAGTGCATCATGAAATATTGCTTTACAGTGTATCACAGACAAGCCCTCAAATATTTCTAGTCGTATTTGTCATGCTAATATTATTTGATAACAATACACATTTGCTGTCATGCTCCTATAAGAATGTGTTTCTTTCTGTCATAGCTAATTTAATTTCGTTCCCATGTTTTAAGTTCCACTTATACACGTGTATATTTGTTTGTGGTTTCAAGGGCACCTGTTTTAATGTTGTGAAGATAATTATTTCATCTGTCACTCATTTATTTCTAAGTCAGTTTCATGATATTGCATAATTCATTAATGTAGAGTTTGAATTTCTCTGCTGTGTTGCAATTAGTTTTCAAATCATCTTTTTTTTTTTTTTTTTTTTTTTTTTTAACGCATCATATTTGTGTGAGTTCATAGCAAGCGTTCCAAATTCCTTGTGGCATAGTTTGGGTAAATGACTGTTGATCCTGCGTTACATTGTGAGCTGTATAATTGATGAAGACTCCCACATTGAGTTGATAGGCATTGCCTTCATCCACCTTTTATTCCAAACCTGGTTAGAAGCTATGCTCTGCCACGCTAAATTATACATAAGCCTGCTTTACGCCCTGCTACCAAAGATTTTATTCATAACGTGTTTGTATGACACAGTGACGACTTGTCAGAATAATTTCCCCCTGTTACTACAAGTGAAGGAAATATGCAGAAATATTCACTGTGTGTTCCATAATTCCTAAATTATTACCCATCATGCCGTTTATGCATTATGGCTGCAAATTGATTTTCACTTATGCTGCTGATAAGAGCAGAGCATTTTAGCGGAAATAATTTAAAATCAATGAATATCTGATTAGTAAACACCTCATCTAATCTTCCACTGAATTTAGCTTGTGATTATTTTTAGCTCCTCTAATTCATGCTAATGTTATCTTCGCTATAGACCTAGTTCCTCTACTCTGATGTTATAAAGATAGTACGTCTTTCTTTCTTCTCAACCCTGGAGCCATTGACAAGTGATGCCTCCCACTTTCGACATGAGATTTCCCACTAGTTTTAAGTGTGCTTATTTAAATCCTGTGTCATGAAAATAGCATGAAGCTTTGCCTGATGAGAATTGGTAGCTGCAAAGGTTAATTAAATGCACCGAAGGGTTAATCATTTGTAATATAGTATGATTAAAATCACTGTAATTAGGTTTGTGGAGAGGTTGATAAGTCTGCAATAAAATGGCAGCTGTCCTTAAAAAAATAGTATAGATATAGTACACTGATATGAAAGGATGCTGTCTTAAGGCTTACCCTATCTACAACATGACAGAGCCTATTCATAAACAGACCGTAGAGGCTCAGGTACAGTAGTGTAGTTTTGTCGTTCAGTGTGAAACATGTCTGTTGTATATCTTATGTAATATTGTCTCACTGTTTTGAAATTGTGAATTTTGGTAAAAGCAACTCATCAAAATTAAATACTTTATTAATCAAACTAGAAACATGAATTTGAAAATATACATTTAAACAATTGTGCTTAATTTTGAGATTTTGTAGTAACTTCACGCAAGGGCTATTTTCCAGGAAAAAAAATTAAAATAAAAATTAAATAAAAATCGAACATTTGTGAAAAACAACCTTTATGCAAATTTTATATAATCAGCACATAGAATAAAGAACATTTGAAGGTCACCAAAATGTTTCAGATTTTATGGATATAGTCAACAATGCTTGTATAATACTTAATAGAGCACCAATTTGTAGCACCATATGGCTTCATTATGCAGTGCCAAGTCTTTATCTCCTTCTCACTTTCTGATCCCAACATTCATATGATCGTGAATATTTTATGTTTATTTTTTTCTTCTTTTAAATCATACTCATAGAATGTTCAGAGTGACTCTAGTGAAGTGCTCATTTGTGCACTTTAGAGAAGGCAGTTCAAACACTACACATACCACACTGTTTAAAAGATTACCCATCAGTGCAAATATGCAGGCATTAAGAGACTAATACGGACCTTTTGTGTGGTACTGTAATTTTAAGCGCAAGGGGTTGACCAAGCTGACATTTAGCAGCTCTTTGATGGTTTCAGTAGCACACATGCACAAGCAACCAATGAGCTGTGTTCACTCTTGGTCTTGAGATCTGCATATCCCTGATTACTCTGCCTACACCAGCCCCCTGCAAACCTGATTAAGAAAGCACATTTGAATGCACAGACTGGTGGGGATAGGCTCATAGCGCAGTGTGGGCTCTGCTGACTTTTTCTCATTCTTAGCAAACATGAAATTCTTAAAGGAGCGCCATGGTGGAGGGTACGGAATCTGTTTTTTTCTCCATAGAGACGCTGTTGTTTTGGCTAGAATGTTTTTCAAAATGGCATAAACCATAGCGATCTCCATGGAGACAAGCAAGTGACTCCACCAAACCAAGTCTTTTTTGGCACTATAAATTCTGGTAATTGGATAAATGCAAGATAGATAAGTTCATACCATATTGTGGAACATTTCAGTTAGTGCAATAACATCGTCATGAGACAAGCCGGTGATTGACTTTCCAAAACAATATTTACATAGTGCAACTATACAAATCTTATAAGAAGGATCAGAATAATCACCCAGTGGTTCCTCAGTGTCTTTGGTCATTTATAGGCTGGGACTTATGATTTCTTTTGGAAAAGTGTAAAACGCACACAGAGCAGGATACAACTGGGGGTAAAATAATTCAAATTCACATGGAGTCAGGGAATCAGAACTGGCTTGACTGTGTGGCAGGCAGCAGAGCGTTACATTTGGACAGCTAACATGCATGAGTCGTGCAATCACATCTTAAATGTCAGCTAGACAACCTTTTTTAGAATTGTTCAGTTGGAACAAAGCAAAATAAATCGTCAAATGCATTAGAAGGGCAGTGTGTGCATCATTTGTGTGGGTGAATGCCTTCACACTCCCCATCTGTGGTCTGTGACAAAGAGCTACAGCTGACTCATGACCAGCACAAGTCAAGTGCCTTCATTCATCCAATTAGATTTTTATTTTTATTTTTTTTTTATTGCAGCATTTAATGGATTCTCTTTGTCATTTTTATTTTACCATCACATTTACATTGTTAGGTAAGAATCCAGTGATGTCTGTTCTTGGCAAAGTTCTGTACATATCAGAGGGCCCTACTGGCAGGGGCCCAAAAAGACTGGGACCTAAATTCATTCTTAAAAATTGCTTTTGGAAGGGGGGCTGAGTGTGCACTGGTGTGGTGGTGGGAGATCCAAAAGAGGCAAATCGGGAGTGATAATTGGATAACATTGCATGCTCTGATAAGTACAGGAAGATAAAATGCACAACTTGTGACACCTGCAGCATTCTTCAAGGCAACCTGACAAGATAATGACGAGATTGCCAGCCGTGCCTTGAAGAACGCTTCACTCTACTCTGCCTTTAAGAGTGTGTATTCAGTGTTCATCTGCCGACATGAGGCTATATACAAACATCTTCTCAGAGCTGGATGATATTGTAACTACAATCTCCCTATATCTTTGTCTGTCTCTCTATATTTCCAGGAGACGGCACTGAAACCATCACACTATGGCACACTCTGT